TGAGGAACAGATCTCATCAAACTTACTATTTTCAAATTCCTTACCATGATAACTTCTGATTCTGACAATGCATCCTTCTTTTTCTCTTTGAATTCTTTTGCACAATTCCTTAAATACATCAAATACATCAGACTTTTCCCTAATGAAGTTTATCCAGGTGAATCTGAAAAAATCATCCACAACAACATAGGCATATCTCTTTCCACCAAGACTTTCCACCTGCATGGGACCCATCAGATCCATATGTAGAAGTTCTAGCACCTTAGAGGTGGTCAGATGTCTTGTCTTTGGATGTGACATTCTAGTTTGCTTTCCAACCTGACATTCACCACAGACTCTCCCTTCATCAATCTGAAGCCTTGGAATCCCTCTGACAACCTCCATGGATATGAGCTTTTCCATCCCTCTAAGATGTAAATGACCAAGTTTTTGGTGCCATAGTTTCACTTCCTTTTCTTCTTTGACTATAGAGCACACAGAAGAGTAGCTAGTGTTCTCAGACTCCCATAAGTAACAGTTGTCTTTTGATCTGACTCCTCTCATTACAACTTCTTGTTTTTCATTAGTTACAAGACATTCAGACTTGGTGAAGTTGACCTTGAATCCTAGATCACATAATTGACTGATACTTATGAGATTAGCAGTCAAACCATTTACCAGCAACACTTCATTTAGGTTTGGAACTCCAGGGCAGTCAAAGTTTCCAACTCCTTTGATTTTTCCTCTAGCACCATCTCTAAAAGTGACATAACTAGTAGTATAAGGTTTGACATCATTCAGCAGATTCTTGATTCCAGTCATGTGTTTAGAGCATCCACTGTCAAAGTACCAGTCTTCCTTGGCAGAAACTCTAAGGGAGGTGTGAGCTATCAGGGCTGCATTCTTTTTCTTCCATTGTTGAGTATATGGTGCCTTGTTAGTCTTAGGTTTGACATATGGGGTCTGATTAGGATATCCATATAATCTGAAGCAGAATGGCTTTATTTGACAAAACCTCCCACAATAATGACATCTCCATCTTTGATACTTTTTCTTCATATTTATCTGTTCTTGATGTTGAGTTCTATGTTGTGACATCTGCTTTGACATTTGTTTATCAGACCTGGTCTTCTTCTTGTCAACAGCAGATTTCTTTGCAGCCACAAATCCTAGACCAGACATGTTTCCTGCATTTTGTCCAGCCTGAAGGATTTCTTCCAACTTGTCAGTTCTAGTTGTTAACATCTTGACAGACTTAGTCATCTGATCAAGTTTGTAGTTCAACATTAGAACTTCACCTTTGAGATGACTTATAGTAGCAGTGTTTGCCTTCTTCTCAGCCTCCAACTTCACTATGAGCTTTTTCTGTTTCTCATTTTACTGACAGACTTCAGCACTTCTGATACATAGCTTCTTGTAGGAGTCAGCAAGTTCTTCAAATGTCACTTCCTCATCACTAGAATCATTATCAGAGTTACAAACACCAGATAGTGCAGTAACTAGTTTAGTAGATTCTTCTTCAGAGTCACTTTCTGAGTCACCATCAGACCAAGTAACAGACATTCCTTTCTTTTGTTTCTTTAAAAAGGTAGGGCATTCAGCTCGAATGTGCCCATATCCTTCACATCCATGGCATTGGATTCCTCTGCTTTGATTTCCCTTTTCTTCAGACTTAGTTCTTCTGCTGGAGTCATAGGATCTGCTAATGTCAGAGGAAATGTTTTTGACATTTGACCTTGACTTTGGGTCCATTCTCTTGATGAGTTTGTTGAACTGCCTTCCAAGCATAGCTATAGCTTCTGATATATTCTCTTCATCACTCTCCTTGCTTTCATCTTCAGTATTAGATACAAGGGCTATGCTCTTGTTTTTCTTGTCAACATTGTCACTGATCCCCATCTTAAATGTCTGAAGTGACCCAATGAGTTCATCAACCTTCAAGTTGCAGATATCCCGAGCTTCCTCTATAGCAGTCACTTTCATTGCAAACCTTTTAGGCAAGGATATGAGAATCTTTCTCACCAGCTTTTCTTCTGACATCTTTTCTCCCAATGCTCCTGAGGTGTTGGCAATTTCCAAGATGTTCATGTGAAACTCATGAATGGTCTCATCTTCCTTCATCTTTAGATTCTCAAATTTGGTAGTGAGCATCTGAAGTCTTGACATTTTTACTTTGGATGTACCCTCATGGGTGGTTTTGAGAGTGTCCCAAACATCCTTGGCCAGTTCACATTGATGTACTAGTCTGAATATGTTTCTATCAATTCCATTGAACAAGGCATTCAATGCTTTAGAGTTACCCAGGGCTAACTCTTCTTCTTCTTTGCTTCATTCTTCCTCAGGTTTCAGACTAGTCGTCCCATCTTTCCCAGTTATGGTGGGATGGTTCCATCCTTTGTCAGCAGCTCTCCAAGCTTTATTGTCCAGTGACTTCAAGAAGGCAATCATACGAGGTTTCCAGTAGTCATAGTTTGATCCATCCAGAATAGGTGGTCTGTTCCCAAATCCTCCTTCCTTGTCCATAGCGCCAGAAAATAATATCCCTAGATCTCACCCAGAAAGACAGGCAGGGTGCCTGCTCTGATGCCAATTGAAATTCTGGCAACAGATACTTAATATCACAGTGAATGTTATGACACCGTATCTGACAAATTGTACACAAACCAAACAGTAATTTAAAATACAGTAAAGAACACAATCAATTGTTAACCCAGTTCAGTGTATAACAACACCTACATCTGGGGGCTACCAAGCCAGGGAGGAAATTCACTATAAGAGGTATTAATTTAGGAATAAACCAACCAGTTTATCTCCTTCACTTAAGACCTACCCAATGCAACTTCAATCTAAGTCCTACTTAAACCTGAGTTCCTACTCACTCCCCCTCAATCACAACAGTGATACTAATCTACTGATTAATAAGATTATGAAGACATTCTTCAATACACACGCTTGATTTTGCTTCAAAGCTTTAATCAAGAGACACAACACTCGTGCTTCAAAGTTTTGAGTGATAAACAACCCTTACAACCAAATCCTACTCCAAGTCACTTATCAAGTGATAATTGCTTGGCTCACAGTAATTACTAAAACTATCACAACTACAAAATGCCTTATTGATCTTCTCTAAAAAGCGCTGCACACCATTAGGATTCGTGAGAAATATATATGCAGTCTATTATTCATTTTGGACTTCCATAAAAATAGCTAGGGTTAACCAAAGTTAACCTAAAGACTTGGTCTTGGGCTTTCATCATAACAAATTAGGGTTAAGCAAGGTTAACCTAATATCCACGTGAGCATCTGATCTAGTCAATATACTTCAACTCAGAATAGCACACCAGATTCCTGAAAATTCTCAGGAACAATAAATCTGCACAACAACTTGATCAGTACAGGATGTCTTAACATTGGTTATAACATCATGTATCCTGTTCACTGATTTTGGTAGAATTCAGTACATATGATCATAGCTTAATCATCATGATATTTACTCATACTGAGTTGTTCCTGTAGAACATTCCTTCTGCAGAATTTGTCTTTATCCCGGAATGTTATGACATCAGTCATGACATTCGCAAATCTGATTTTACCAAAAATTAATGCCAACAAGCAAACACTTACACATTCTACATTACACTCTTTTTTAGTAGAAAATGGGTGTAAATACATGCTATGTTACACCCTTTTTTAATAGATAACAGGTGTAAATACATACTATGTTACACCTTTTTTTAATAGATAACGGATGTAAATTGTTGCATATATACATTTAAAGCTAACAAAATTAAACTCCATTTGATAAATATCGAGTGTAAATACGTTCTTACTTACACTCTATTTTAATAAAAATTGAGTGTAAATACAATTTTAATTACACCCTATTTTAATAAAAATTAGGTGTAAATACGTTCTTAATTACACCATATTTTAATAAATATCTAGTGTAAAGACATTCTTAATTACACACTATTTTAATAAAAATGGGGTGTACATTCTTTTTAATTACACTCTATTTTAATAAATATCGAATGTAAATACATGCTAATTTACACCCTTTTTAAATATAATTTATACACTATTTTATTATATTATATTTAATTTCATTTATACCCTATTTCATGTGTTACATTACACCATATTTTAGTTATCACATTTCTTCATATTTCATGTATTAAGACGTCATAGTGTTTCAAATACTATAAAGTCATACATATAAAAATCACATTTCATGTACTAAGTTATAATATTTTTTTCATTCCGGGTCATAATAGTAGATGATGAACAAAATATTCTTTATGTAACAACAAAATATTCAACCAAATCATAATATTTCATGTCACTTTCTTCATATATATATATATATATATATATATATATATATATATATATATATATATATATATATATATATATATATATATATATATAAAAGTTTTCTTCTTCTTCCACTTTTATTTTGACAACATTTCTAAGTCCATATCCTCTTCAACCATTTACATTTAATCTTGTAGATTAAGTTAAAAACTGTTTACCAACTGAACAAGTGCCTGAAAGCCCTTGGTGTCAATAGGTGTAGATTTAATATCCATTTTTGCCAATGTCCTTGTAAAGAAGACACCAAAATATTACAGTCATCGAATGTATAAATTGGTGCTTGTCTGTCTCAGGTTGGTTAGAGAGACATGTAGGAAGCTTCATACCTGCCTATTGTGTGTGTGATAAATTGGCTCTTTGCAGCAGCTCTATCATGCTCCTCGCATGACATCTCTACCATCTTGCAACCCTGAGTAACTCATAATATTGCAAAATAGATCTACCTTGAATACAATTCATATACATGAAATATTCATATATATTAGGCATTCACAATTGATTTTTGTGCTTTTTTCTTCTTCTTTGGAAATCAAGAAGTTGAGGTCCAAACTTGGGAGTTACAGAGTTTGATCAAACTTGCTCCAGACAAGAATTGAAGATTTTACTTACTAAGTCTATTTTCAATAATGGCCATATAGCGTTTATCACCTTATCCTTGCGCCACTTGGTGAGATTGTAGAGTTATGATTTAACATTTTCCTGCACAAAAATGGCCCCCATGGGTGATAAAGCTGGCCTTGGTGATAAAGCTGAAAGAAAAGATGGCCCCCATTCACAAAATCCAGCACAAGATACAATCTGTATTTTGTATGAAACAACATGTATCACACATGTCAGTTCTATTTCAGAGACTATTTTTCTGTAAGCCAAATAAGAAAAGAAAATCTTTTTTTACAATTTACTATGAATACAACTTACTTGAAATTAAATTTTGGGCAGCACATTCAATGACATATACTAAAGTTTGAAAACATGATTTCATTGGGAATTATAGGTTGTATGCAAATGTCAGACTTTGAATGGATAGTTGCAGTTAGAGAAGTAAGTATTAGGTCATCACATGTCCTGCTACTCCTACCTAAATAGTATATGTTGTGTCCCTAATTCATCCAATTCTTTCCATAACATAAGCCACGTCTACGTTTTCCATATATTAGAATAAAGGGTTAATTTTCGCTGTCACGAGCCACCTTCACCTTTGTTTTACAGACATTAACCATGTTTTTGTCTTGCAATAATTGTATGGTTACCACCTAAGAATCACCTCAACAAAATCAGAATAGCCTAAATAACATTAAAAACCAGAGAAAAAAAACAGCAGTCAGACCCAAAAAAAAGCAGCTCCAAATCATCAATTGTTAGTCCCAAATACCACAAAACTAATAGGATGAACTATCATTGAAACAAACTACCCTACTTAACAACATTTTAACAATGTTGTCTTACGCTGTAGTGAAATCACAACAGTTGCAGCCATTCAATTTGCAGTAGTGACGACCCTGCTCGCAGCCATTCATATACAGAGCATAACAATTACGGCTTAAGATGACATACAAATAGATCATGTGAATTGATATAGTTTAATGGTAGTTACACAGTTAACAAAGGGTGAACAAATAGATCATGTAATGGACTAAATCAATCTCATTCCAACCAACTCCCAAGCTGCAACATCTATATAGGGAACACATTCCATTCTTCAACCTTGGATTCATTCACAATCTTCTATCACTGTAATCCCTCTCCAATACACTCACCCTTCATCTCTCATCTTCATTCCTCCAACCATCATCAACAACTCACAACAATCCTCACTTTCATCTTTGTACCTCCCACCATCATCATCTTCACCTCAGTCCCATCAACCTCACCTCACTCTTATCAATCTCCCTGCAACCCCTCACTCTCCTCTACCCTCTATTCAACAATATAGCAATAACAATTCACAACAGGAAACTCAATAAGAAACTCGAAAGAAAACATAAGGGGTAGAAGAAAACAGAAGCGCAAAAGCAAAAGAATATCGGTTCAGGACTTTTATCGAATACCTGGCGTACATAGTTACGAAGCTGTAATTGTGGTAACAATTCAATGCCAATTCATGAACCATAACCTGCCACAACAACAAATAATAATACAACAGCAATTCCATAACAGATAAATTGAAAGAAAAAGAAGAAGAAGAGAACTCGTGAATTCGCTGACGAGCATCCGCACACTACTATTGCCGAATCAGTGCTGATTGCCGTAAGTAAGGAATCACGAACAATTCACTATTGTTGTTGTCGCGTGAGAGAAATATTCTCACGTCGAACCGTGAAAAAGCACTTTTGAAAAGCGCTTATGGACAGCTGAAAGAAACCGCGTTCGCCAGATACTGCTAGTTTATATGTATATTTGTTCTTCACTCTTTTTTTTCTTCTTACTGTTATTTTAACTTAGTAAATTAAGTTACATGTTTAGAATAGTTAAAAGCATCTTGCCTAGAATAGATGTAGAAAGAGATGTTAAAATGATATATTTTGAGTTATAAAATTAAATAATTTTTTAGTTCATTTAAATTTACACCTGTAGTAACGGAAATCTTATTTATAATAATATTTTTAATTTATACATGTTTTTAAAAAATAGAGTGTAAATTCTTATGAGCTAATATATAAAATGATATTTTATTTATAAAATTGTCACTGTGTTTTTTATTTATACTTGTTTTTAATATATTGAGTATAAATTTTAAAATTATATTATTCTTTTTACATTGAAGGTTACTGATGCACGAGATATTTTAGTTGATGAATTAATTCAATTTGTTACTTTTATGTCTATTTTTCTTTAAGGAGAATATTTGTTAAACCAAATTATGTCTATTATTCGTCTTAATGCCCAATAATCATTCGTTCATTATGTTTGTTTTGAGTATGGACAATCTCTTCAAAATTTGTCAATTTGTCATGGATACGAATTGTTGTTGAATGTGATATCTGTTGTTGGTTTTTATGCTCAAAGTTGAAGTTCGAATAAGCATTTTCCCAAAGGACTAACAAAGTATATTGTTATAGGTGATGGAACTCCCATTTTTTGCATCAAAAATATGACTTAGCCGTGATGGGAGATGTTCTTCTGAAGTTAACTACCGATTTATATATAATAAAAACTATAAAAAAAAAATTATGATTTGTGATACTTGAATTGCGACCCTTATATAATAACCGTCTTCTTTTATTAATAAATTGGTTTCTTGAATAAGTTGAATGATTAATTAATTGAAATTGAAATATTTTATCACTGAAATTTATTATTTTCACGTATTAATATCACCACAATATATTTTTTATTTTAATAAATAAAATATTTGTTTAATTTATTTTGTTGTAAATAAATTTTACAAATTTTGTTCGATTTTGAGATTTTTACAAGAATATTTGGATTGTCTCTAATTATTCTTAGTGTGATTCTTAATTTGTTACATTGATTGTTCTATTTATTTGTTCAGTTTACTTTAATAAGGTTGAAACATATGTTCAGCAATTATTAGTTTATTTATGTCGAAAGCAATATTTTTTTAATAAGGTTAATTTTTATGCATCTATGAAAGTTAGTGATCTATTGTGTAATTTGTGTTTCATAATATTAATATGATTGTTATAATGTGACGTTTTCACTTGCCAAAGTGTTATAATGTGACGTGTTCACCTGCCAAAGTGTTATAATGTGAGCAGTGTGTACTATTTGTTGATGAAGATAGAGGATGATCAGTGTCTTCGAGTCGAGGTTCTCAGGTTTTGTGGTCAAAATTGGTGCCGCTTAAGGTAAACCTTTTTCTTTGGCGGTTGTATCGTGATAGATTACGGAACAAGGATAATTTGGTTAGGCGGCATATTATATTAGCTGAGGCACATAATTGTCCTAATGTTTGTAATATGGATGAGGATAGGGATTAGGGGTGGTCGCAGTTCGGTTTGGATCGGTTTTAAAGTAAAAATTCATTCGATCCAAATATAAATTCACTTGCGGTTCAGTTCGGTTTTCGATGATATATTAAAAAAAATTCAATTCGATCCGATCTAATTTTATACAGTTTAATTTGGATCGGTTTTTGAATATCCAAATTACACATATATTTTTATTAATATTATAAAACTACTAATAAATCATAGATTTGATATAATATATAACATATAGTATATTAAAAGTTAATATTACAAAATGAGAGTGATCGATTATGATTGAAATAATAAAAATGAATAGATTATACCAAGTTAATAAATATTATTAAAAAAGTTATTATCATCTGATCTGACCTGATCAGAAATGGACCGTCACGGCTGGCTCCGAGCTGAAAGCTTTTTGAACGAGGTGGGGGGGGGGGGGGGGGGGGTACCTGCAAGGCACTCCGATGCTGAAGTAAGTAGAAGTACGAGCAGGCAATAGTTAAGTGTATGGGTAGAATGATGAATACCTGACCCTCTGGAAACAGAGGGTATTTATAGCCCCCAGCGCTGGGCCAAGGTTCCTTCATTGGGCCGGGCAGGTTTGGCCCAATGGAGGAACTTCCAGGTTCTACGTGCGTAGTGGGGACCCGCGCGTGGTCCCCTTCCTGGATGTTCTGCGTGAAGTGCGGGCGGACGGAGACGCGGTCTTTTCGGGGCCTCGTTGGGAGTGTAGTGGACTGAGTCTGCCCTAGTTGGGGTGCTCGAGGTGATGTCGAGCTGGACAGCAGGATGTCGAGCTGGAGGTGTAGAGGTCGAGCACGCGACCTCAGGGAGCACGTCGGGCACGACTGTGACCCTTTGGTCGGCATGGTCCTCAGCAAGTCTATTTGGATTGGGCCTTAGTAATGCTTTTGGGCCTGTCGGGCCCAGTCCAGAACAGGAGCCCCCCAAGTCGTGGTTCCTTTGTTAGGAGCCATGGCTTGAACTTAGGTCGTTTCCGCTTCGGGGTCTCGCGCCTGGGACGGAGATGCAGGCCCTCGAGGGCCTCTCCGTGCCGTGCTCGGAGACATCTTCCGCGGTGGATGCTCGGAGGATCCTCACCGGCGTGTGTCTGTCGAGCACACGAGGTATCTTTCGGGAACTGTGCCGCCACCCTATGCTGATAGGGTCATCATTGCGTTGGGAGCAGTGCGTCGGGGAGAGAAACTCCGTGGTTGTCCGAGGTGACGTTTGGTATTCCACGTCATCACTATAAATAGGAACCTTGGGCCCCATAACACGTTTCTACTCTTTGCGCTCCTACTGCTGCTGTTTTTCCAGATTTTTCATAGCTGCGATCTTCTGTTACAGATTCTTTTACTTCGTAGCCGAATCCACTTTTTGATTCAAGTAAGTGGTTTATCTTCTTCATTTTCCTGTTGTAATGCATGATTTTCAGCGTTTGTAGACGTTTTAGGGACTGTGCGTGTGGGACTAGCCCGGTAAACTCATACTTAGCTCGACATATTCATGCTTAGGACCGCCAAACGCATGCTCGTGGCCGGTAGATTCATAGTTTTAGGTAATAATCAGCAGCGCTGCCCGGGATCTTCATGATCCAGGGCGCCTGATTCATGATCGCGCCCGGTATGTTCATGGTCCTGGTGTTGGCTCCTAAATTCGACACCCTTGTTTTATTAATATCAGCCATTAAAGCTGAAGGATGTTTTCGACCAGCTGGGTCTGTCGAAATGCCCATCGAAATATGGCAATTTACTTAGAGGATTTCTTCCAAGGGAGAAGTTGGTTGCCTTCGACGTCGAAGGTGTTTCTCGTCGAAGATGCTTCTCGACGAAGGTGTTCGACGGTTCAGAGTGGAACGGTTTGAAATTCAAACGTTTGGAGGGAAAACGGTTTCCAGCGGTTACCAAGTGCAACGTGCAAAGATCTGGAGCGTCGAACGCTGAGAACGTGCCAAGTGGGGTCATCTCGAAGCAGTGTAACTGCCCGACGATTACTTGGGATGTTTTAGTATAAATAGTAGTAGGTCACGCAGTTTTTCGCGTGTGTTCACAATTATATACAAAGTCACTCATATAGATTCGAGTACCCAGCGTGTGAGAAAGAATTGTTGAGAATGTATGTGTGAAACACCACTTTTATTAATCAAAGTCATTTACTTTCCAGAAACTTTACTTGCTTTCTTCTTTACTTTTCCTGTCGAAGCCCTTTATTTCAAGCCTTCATTTATTTTATCAAGCCCATTTCTTCATGCAATTTACTTAAAGCCTCTTTATTTTCTTGTCATTTAACCATTATCCAACTTAATCAAAACCTCAAAATCAACCATGTCTTAGGATCAATCTGATCGATCCTGCGAGTAACCAAATAAGTAACCATTTGGAGGATCAGCGGTTGTTTACCAATAACCACGGTAAACAAATTGGCACACCTGATGGGACTGTGTGTTGATTGTTGAAGTTTAACTTTTTTTTAACGTAATCTCATCTTTTTCTAGGAGTGTTGCATGTTATTGAGAAGTGGTAGAATATACACTAACGATACCGATACTGCCAGAAGAAGGGAAGAGATGGCGAATCCGCCAAACAATAACGAAATCCCACAAACGAATGTGGGAGCAACGGTTATCCCAACCGTAAGTGAAGCGATAACCGCTGGTTCAACACCAGCAGTAACGGTCACAACAACGGGGCCATTACCTCCGTTCACAGGCCCCAGAGTGCCTTTGGGAACTCCCCCACCAAGGGGAAATTTAGGCACAAGGCCTTATGTTCCCCCAGGATTTATGACAGGCGGTCATAATCGAGAACCACTCTATGGCATGCCAACTTCTGACTTGGCTAGCCTGACGAACGCTGCGTCCACTTTTTCAGACCCTTTAGTGAGTGCCTCTTCGCCACTCCAAGGTTCTGGAGTAGGTATGGCGAATAGAAATAGGACCCAACTCTTAGGAGGAACGTCCCAAGTAGCACATGGCCTTACAAATGCCTTGACAGCAGTCTTGAGGCAACAAATGGACGAAAGCAACCACGATATGGTTCAAATGTTGGCACAAACCTTAAGTACAGTGCTGAACCCTCTAATACAAAACACTACTCAATCGAATCAGCAGATGACATAGCAAATGACGCGTTTGGCTGATTTCTTTGGAGTACCCCAACCTATTCGACAGCCCCAAAGGGCGCAAATAAGGGGAAACCAGGGTGTATTCCTAGAGGAAGAAACCACTATCAACCAAGTCCAACAGCCTGTCGAAGAAAACCTTAGGGCACGATTGGAGCAACCTGTCGAGGAACCTAGGGTAATAACCCCAGAGGTAAGGTTAGTTAACAGAAACCAAAATGCTGACGAAGTAGTTCAGCATATCCAATACCAAAACATGGGTTTGGAAAATAATCTGGCAACCATGATCGAAAGGATCATGACTCAAAATGGGATGAACATGGGCTTTCGAAGGCCCAACTTTACATCCCCGCTGTCAGAATACGTGTTACAAACAGACTTACCTCCTAGATGTAAAGTCCCTAAATTCACTAAGTTCTCTGG